GGGGGGGGAAAAGGGGCGCAAAGGTTCTCACCGCCTGGGGGGGCCTCGTCTTGGCTCACGCTGTCGTCAGGACTCTGGAACATGAGCTCAAAGATTCTCACGGGGGTCAGCTGGTTCACGTCCAAATTCTGCGCCTGCGACCGATTCGAAATGGAAAGAACATCCGCCGTTCAAAGCTGCCTCTCTCCCCTCCACCCGGAAACGACAGCGATCGCGAGCGGGACTCGAAGGAGGTTCACAAACGTGCCACGCCCACATTTCCTTCCTTTGCGTCTCAGTCACGAGGATTTGTCGGCATCGAGCGGGGCGCCAGAATCACCGACAAAAAGCACGGCGGCATTTTCAACGCCGGCCGGCCCTTTGTCCGCTTTTCGGGAAGCGGCCGTCAAAAGCCCTCTTCGGGTTCGGACGGTGGCGACGCGAGAGCCTTGGAGGATCGCCATCGGAAATCCCGGCGGCCAAGAGGGACTTACGTTGCGCAGTTGCTCCGGCAGGTCCGAGTCGGTCGAGATCAGACTCAAGTCGCTGAGGCACAACGAATGGTTGGCATCCTACGGCCGGAGAAAAGCAAAAAGATGAGCGGCGGCGGCGGCGGCGGCGAGACGCGGCCATACCGAGCGAGCGGATCCTCCAAGAGGCGGCGTCGCCCTCGCTCACCTCGGACAGCGGGCGAGCGAGGGCGACGCCGAAGGGCGCCCCCTTATCGTGACCGCGGATGTGACTCTTCAAGCTGTACTGGCTGCTGAACGTCTTCTCGCAGCCGTCGCTCGGACAGTTGAAGGGCTTCTCGCCTGGAAAAGGATTTGCGGAGAGACTCGGATCGCGGCCATTTTCCCGCACGGACGCGGGGGTCACGGGCGCCGCGAGGCGTGTCGGAAGCGCAGCTACAAGATGCGCGTCGGCTCCGGTAAGGTCGGTCGGGCTCGGCCGACGCGTCAGTACCTGTGTGGGTCCGGACGTGGGTTTTGAGGTGATGACTTGCCGCAAAAGCTTTGCCGCAGCCGTCGTGGTCGCACCTTGCGCGGTGGGAACAAAAAAAAAAAAACAAATCAAATCACGTCAAAGCGGCCGAAACGCCTCCCGTCGGCCGGATTTTGCCCTCACGAGAGACGAAGCGTGAGGAGAGAATGCGAATCCGAATGAGTTCGGCCTCCGATCTGAGGGGGAAGCCGCCGATTCACGTTTTGCTCGGACGGCGCGGCGCAAGCGGGCGCTTTGCGGTCGGCGCGCTCACCGGAAAGGCTTCTCTCCGGTGTGCGTGCGAATGTGCTTCCTCAAGTCGCTGAGGGTGGTGAAGTACTTGGCGCAGCCTTCCGATTCGCAGTTGAAGGTTTTGCCCGTGTGGAGTCTCTGGTGCGCTTTGAGCCTGCGAACAACAACAACGGGCGGGAAACACACGGGCGCAAAAACGGAGACGGACGCCGCCCTGCCTCATGAGTTCGCGCGGCCCCGTTTGGTTATTGCTCAAAGGCCTTGGACGGCGAGAATCCCCAACATCGGCCACATCAACGTGGGGCCTGCGGAAACTAACGTGAGGCAAGGACCCCCCCCCTCCCCCCGTCCTCCAAAAAACGAAAAGAAACCAGAATGAAAAACACAAAGGACGCCCGACTTTGTCAAGTCCGTCCCTGCCGAGAATCGAGCCGGCGCGGCAAACTTCCACACCCGAGGGGTGACGAGGACGAAACGGAGACGCCGCGCGCGAGGCTAAGCTAACGAAGACCGACGGGGCTAGCGCGTCTCGCCGAAGCGGTTGGGGGCCACGAACGCTCGGAGAACGAACGGCCGCCGTCGGGCCGAGCGCCTCGGGAGGGAAAACTGAAGCGCAACCGGGAAAGAAGGAACTTCAGCGACGATGCTAGCAGCCGGCTCACGGCTTCCGAGGGGAGTTCATCGGACAAAAAATGTCGTCTCTGGTTTTCACAAGAGAGTCCCGAGTTTTGACCGCCAATGTTTCAATCCATTTGGCTTCGCTCGGAGATACGAAAAGGCGGTTTGCCGCGACAGCCGGAGTGACCGCGAGAAAGAAAAAAACAAGCCGCCGCCGACGACAGAAAGCCAAGCGTCGTCGAATCGTCCGACGCGGACGGCGGAAAGGCGTCGGCTTACCTGTAGAGCGTGTTGAAGGCCTTCTCGCAGCCCTGCACGTCGCACTCGAAGGGCTTCTCCTTGGTGTGCACGCGGACGTGGATCTTGAGGCTGTACGAGGTGAGGAAGGCCTTGCCGCAGCCTTGCTGGTTGCACACGAAGGTGTACTCGCCGCGGTGGGTCTTCTGGTGCGTGCGCAGGTTCCCCGCCGTGCTGTACGTCCTGGTGCAGCCTTCGAACGTGCACTGGTAACGTTTCACCTGAGGACGGAGGGACGGGAGGGGCGTCAGCTTTTCCCGTTTCACGAAAGAGTTGAGTTGTCAACGCGCAAACCGCACTTCCCTCGACACGCTGACCGAAAGCTAACGATCGGGTCGCCCACGCCGAGCCCCTCGGCCGACTCGTTGGGCCCGAATCTCGCGTTGGAGGACGGACGGACGCGCGATCACCCGGGTTACGGATCGGCGAAGGGAGTCTCGCCTCGGTCTGCCTGGTCTCCGGACACTCCGAGTGCAGCGTGAGGGTGGCGCCCTCGATGTTGCGCGGCATGGGGGTGGAGCCCGGATTGATGGTGAACTGGATCTGGTCCGGCGAGATGGTGTGGTGCACGTAGCCCTGCGTCATGGCGTCGGGGTCGGCCATGAAGGCCAGCGAGCCCTCCTCCTCCTCCTCCTCCTCCTCGTCGCCTTCGGTCAGGAAGGCCACGCCGTCGTCGTCGCCCCCGCAGTGGCCCTCCTCCTCGCCTTCCTCGTCCAGCCGGATGGGGTCCCGCTCGATGAGCACGGTGGTGCGGTCGTACACGCGGCCCCCGTCCGAGCCCGCCTTGTCCTCGTCGTCCTCGAGGTCCCCTCCCGAGGGCTCCGGCTCCAAGTACAGCGGCGCCCGCGCGCGAGGGCCGTTTTCCGACATGGTCCCTCGGTGCCGCGCCTTCCTTTGGGCCAGGAGGGGGGGGGCGGGACTCGCGCGCTTCGCTCCGGCAGCGCTTCAAGCTGGCAAAACACAGGACAGACGGCGATCAGCATCCGGTCGACTCGCGCTTTTAACTTCGGCTTCGTGAACAAACCAACGCGCGATGGGACCAGGTCGACCGCAATTTTGATTTCTAACGGCAGGTGCGCATCGAGCCCATATTGATCGATCGACTCAAGAAGTCGCTTTCGCTTTCAAAAATGTTGCTGACCCTTGGACGAGAGCGACTCGACCAATTGTACGAGCTGCAAAGTGCAACGCGAATAGCGAGCGCAATCTTTCCTTGTTCAAAACAAACACGGTCTTTGCTTGGGGCGAGCTGCAAGACGATGAACGACAGACCTATCGATTCATTTCAGTGGCAAAAAGATGACGTTTCTCGAGGCACCGCTGCCTTCTACGTCACCTGTCCGAGCGAGTTCAAAAGGGATCGAGAACTTTCCTTTCAATGACGTTCCTCGAATCGTCACGGTCAAGAAACTCAGCGAGACGACGTTTCGCGTCCTTGACAAAAGCACAGGAAATGACTCAGATTGGAAACTAACTCACAACCGCCCTGGCTGTCAGTTTGATCGACGTTGTTGTTGTTGTTTGGGGGGGGGGCGACACGACACGGAGGGCTGTTTAGCTCGCAGTAATCCCCGACATATTCACACCGCTGCTTCATTTTTGTCCGAGTCTTCCTCTCTAGAGATGGATTCGTCTCACCGCCCGCCTCGGGGTGCAACGCTACCTAGCGAGCTGCCACAAATAACAAACAATCCGTTTTCTTTCTCTTTCGCTATTGCGGTAATCCGCGGGTCGAATAAATGCGCCTTCATCTTTCCGTTTGACGCCGACGAGTTCGGGGACAGGGCTGGCTAGCTTAGCTCAGTAGCCATCCCAGCACACAAACGCACCACTTACCGTTTAAATGTCGACAGCTGACCTCAAAGCGCTCCGGTCTTTGCCACGCTCAATGACTTCCGTGCGGCAACGCGACACGCTCGCTTTCCCCCCGACTCTCGACTCCGAAGGCGCCCTGATAGGCACCGAATTGAAGGGAACCCGACTTTCGGTGGAGGGGGGGGGGGTT